GACAGAAAAAACATTCTTCACACACATTTTGTATAATGTATAGTTGACAGAGAAAAACATTCTTCACACACATTTTATATTATGTATAGTTGATAGAGAAAAACATTCTTCACACACATTTTGTATTATGTATAGTTGACAGAGAAAAACATTCTTCACACATTTGGTATTATGTATAGTTGACAGACATAAACATTCTTCACACATTTTTTAAACATATACCATGTTGAAGACAAAAAAACAAAACAGAAAACAGTTGTGCAAATATGGAACATGGAAATAATAATTGTTGGTTGTAGGTGTAATAGCCAAGAAGTCCATTCACACCATAAAGTTGGCCAAGCAACGGGTTCACTATGCATAATGGGTTTACTGTGCATTGTTGTTATGTTACTATAAACCCAGGACATGACAGTTTTCTGGTTTCTGCATTTGTGAAAAGAAGTAGCTAAACCCCAAGTAATAAGCCCACCAATCCTTAACTTATGTGTTTGTGTGTTCTGCTCCAGGGTTCCACATTTTGGGCAGTGTTATTCTCCTAACTCTTTACCCTACCCCTGGATCCTCAAACTTTTCAATATTTTTCAACTTCATGTTTTTCTAACAGAAAACTTGGATGTTTTAATCAACTTAACAGTCTGTCAAGTGTCCTGTATTTTATTTTTAAGGCTTCCTATATTTTTCACTATTTCATCGAATGTTCCAGTTATTCAGTGTATAAATTAAACAACAGATAAATTATAGCTGTATATTATGGTCACTTATTGAGAATGTTTGTACATTCCATGTAGCAAAAGTGAGCAGGTTTGTAAACAGCAGTTTTCATGGTAGTATCTTAAATATTTTCACTTTGGAATGTTACTGCACAAACTCAGATTTCCTAACCACATATCTTTTGTATGAATTGAAAGTTTTACTTTGGTGTGTGTCATGAAAACTTTCCAGTAAAAATGACTTTTATTCTTATGTACTTTTTGTTGTGAAATTCGTATAACTGGTATGATTCTCAGCTTCCTATAAATATATATAATTTCTTTAGCCAAAACAAACTTTAATGGTGTTTATTTATGGCAAGTGATTAGTTTTTCTTATCTTTAGAAGGTTATTTTAAACTATTTTCTATTATTGTTTTCTTTATATGGTAACAGTAAAGCTCATTTTTTTAAATAGTTTTTTCTTAAGAACAGCAGTGTAACATGTGTATTACTACAGAACACTCATCTCCAGGTTTTTTTGTTTTTTTTTATTAACAGAAGATTGATGGAACCACAAACTACACCTGCTCCTGGTTTCTACATTTGTCCTGAAGCTGTTCCAGGTGTTTCCAACTCAGCTGTTCCCCTGGCACCAGCAGTTAGTTGTACTCCAACCATACCACCAGGCGGACAAGCTCCCAACCACTTAGCACAAACAGGAGGAATGGTATCTACACACAACCCAATATTTGGAGCCTGTCATTCTATCCCCGTGACAGCTACCACTCCAGGTCCCCAAGGACTTGCTCAGACCTCTATTCCTGGTCCCTCTTGTACCCCGTCCATACCTCTGTCTGTTCAAACACCTAACACTCTTCCTTCCCAGCATCCACTTCCTCCTCCTCCTTCAACAGATATCATGATGGATCCCACAGTCAATGTGCAGACTGAAGTAGTGATTCCAAGCTCTGGGAGGTAAGAATTATGCTACTGAAAACAAAGTTGTGCTTGAAAAATGTAGGAGGTATCAGGGAAGGTGGAGCATCAGCATGATGGTTGATTACTGCTGGTTATTGAAACGAGATGCTTCAGACGCAATACATAAAAGAAAGAACACAACACGTAGTTTTGAGACTAAAAGACGTAGATTTTACCAAAAAAATCAGGATGAATGAGGAAGCATATTCATTGACATCAGTGTTCCTCCCTTTTCTTCAGTTTGTTTGTATTTTTGTTAACAAACATAATAATAAAAAATGTTCAATGTGGTAAACAAAAGAATAATTTGATCTAAGTAAGAGTTTTTTTTTTCCTTCCAGAGTGGTAAAAAAAAATCCTTATGTGATATAAAAAATGAATATTACTTTCAAAATCTGCATAGCTTAAATATGGAATATCCGTTATTAAAACCAAAACAATTTTTATGAAATTTAATTTTGCTGGCCTGTGTAATCAATCTAATATTTCAGACTTGATGTGATCTTCTAACACAGTAATTCTCTATACCTGACAGAACCTTTTAATAAAAGTTTAATTAAAAGTTCCAACCAGCCAAGTTTCTCTTTTTTAACATCCATTGCAAACACTAGATTTGATCTGATCTTCTGTTAATTACTTTCCTCCCTAAGATGACCTATTTGTAATACCCATAACTTTTCAAGACCCCGTGATGGAGAAAAATGGATATCATTTTCAGATTCAGAATAACTGTAGAACATGTTAAAATCTAAAGACAATAAAACCATCGCAGGCCTGTGTTATTAATGTAAAGTGTCTAGTTCCTATGTGATACATTCATTACAATAAACACACACCAAAATTAACAGTAAAGTAGGAGTTTCAAACAGAAACTTAAGTACCTGTAAGAGATACAAGAAAGTTTTATGTACATAAAAGTGAGGAGCCATATTAAGCTTAAATCCCTCTTAAGAAATGTCTAGATATATATATGGAAATGACTTGTATAGTGTTAGTTTCAAGCTTAACATGATTTCTTTTTTTTTTTTCACAAATAAAACTTTTTTCTAAACTTCTGTCTATTTTTTGGGGGGGGGGGATAAAGGTCGTAATATAATCATTATCTTTATTTTTTATAAGTACACTGTACGGAGTGTGCATTGCTTTATGTACAGTTTGGTAGTACATTTATGTTATTTTAGTTTAGATGATGACGATTATTCTGTTATGCAAGTTTTGTCATGTATTGCTATGATAACGATCATTAACTTACTAAGTTTCTTTACTATTACTTACCTTTTTTTACTAGATTTATTATTTGTTACTTACAGTTCATAATCTAGTATACGAGTTTTGGTTTAATACAATTAAGAATCATGAGTAAAGTAAAGGCATTCTGATATATGCAGTGATAGTGGTCACTCTCATGTACACCACCACATTCATCAGCATCATTACCACCACCCGCCTCCTCGTCTACACCACTTTGGTGTACCTCCCGGCTTGCACATTGGAATTACAGCTGGAGTGGTAAGTCCTATGTTAAGCACTGTCTTTGATTTTAAATATTTCAAGGAAACAAATTTTGAGTTTATAATTATCATGTTTTATGTTGGTGTAAACATTTGAAATTTTCAGGTATCTGTTGATTGATTCTGATGGTTATCAAAGCTTTTTTTTTTTATTAGTTTTCAGTTCATATCTGTAGATTAAAAAAATAGGAAACTTATCAAAAGTAACCAGTAAAACATATTTGGTATTTAGCTTGATGTACTATTTTACAGTCAGTGCTCGAAATGGGAATTCAGAAGTGGGGGGTATGCAAAATGCCAAATTAGAGAAGTGGGGTACTCACCACTTCAAGCACTGCTCACGATGTATTGTGTAGCACTTTTGTGGTTGCTACACTTAAGGCTCTGATAACAACATTAGTACTAATAATTCAATGGAAACTTTTTATTATTTTGACAGTTGTGATTGTTTTTACTTTTAGCTTTCATTTGACTGGAATAGCTTCTAATAGTAAAGTACATGTTTGTAAAGTTTGGAAAAACCCAATTGGTTACAGTACATAATAGGTTATTATTATTATTTCTTTTTTAAGAAAAAAAACAATAGCAGCCTTCTCTCAAAAAAGTTTGCATGAGAAACTAACTATTTTGAACGTAAAGTATAAACTAATAATAAAATTATGTATGTCAAAAATTCAGTATCACTTTAAGTTTTGCTGTATGTTTATGCATGTATGATTTCTCTGTCCTTCAAGGTAAGCTAAGGCTATCAATGAATTATCTGATTTAAAAACATACATGTTATTTTATGTAGTGCGACTCTGAAGCACTGATAATATAGTTGTGAATTCTGAGCTCTACAGCTAGTGTGTTGCACAGAATATTGACACTAATTTGACATTAGTTACAATAAATCTTTCAAATGTGTTCATACAAGTAGTTCTTTTCAAAATCACAGTTGATTAAGAATTCAAAGGTACATACTGTCGTTAAAAGGATACATATTGTGTTCAGTTTTATTTTTCTGATTAAACTAAGCTGCAAACTAGAAGGTCAAGATAGTAGTGAAGGTAAACGGTTTGATTTTGGATGTTTTTCGTTTACATAATCTACCTTAATTGATAGGGGCTGGAGGTGTGATTAAGAGTAGGTCTGTATTTTTATTATTAACAATTCTGTCAAACTTTGAATTTAAAAATTCTCCAAAGTGATTGGGTGGCCCATTTTATCTTTGTGATTACAAATGAGGAATGAGCACAGATTTGATAACAAAGATCAGTTTTTGTGAATAACACCACAGGTACACACAACAAGAATTGAACTATTATTTATATGTACTGTAACAAATTTAGGCATAGCTAACTGAGCAGTTTTGAGAGAAATCTAATAGAATATGGGTGCTAATGTGCAAGGGGTATGTCATTCAAATTTTTTTCAACTTAAGGAATTTGGTAATGTTCATACAGAACTACATTATAGACAAGTCATTTTCCATCTACTTAACATGTGCAAAGTTCCCTTTTATTAGGCATTTTGGATAAACCTAGAGTAACAAACATTGTTCGTCTTTAAATAAAATATACTTACATAGCATCAGTATTATCATGTGTAAAAAATATGCATATAAACCTGCACGTAATGCCACTAATAACACATACAGCTTTGGGATTAAGTTAAATATACCAGGATACTCCAGAGTATGCCTGGTAATGTACAATCTTTGTGTTCAATGTACTGACTTTATCCTGTTAATTAGTGGTTGTAAGGGCTCATGGGAATCACAAAAGTAACAAATCAAACCTGATTAAATTATTCTTACTTTGTCTAATATAAATAGTGAAATCACGTTATTATTAAAGGAATTGTAAAAACTTTAAACAAACATTAAAATGAATTTTACTTTATTTTTAATAAACTGTTAATTTTGATTTGTTTGATATTTCAAAGTGCATTCTTGATAGTTTGGCCTCTGTATACTGCACAGCCTACATAAATACTTATATCGTTGTGTATATTCATTAGCCACATGTTCTCTCCTGCCAGAGAATGTGCAAATTGCAGACAGCTGACAGCCTCAAAAGCAAAGATAACTGTAGGGTTTGGCCAAACTTGGGTAAATTAATTGATTTGCGTTTTCCATGATTAAAAGGAACTTGTATATATTGGTTTTGTAGTTACTCTCTTAGTTTTATGCTGTAATATTGCACATTTGTACTGATATCGTTGCACTAATGCAACGATAAATTGTTATCATAATTAACTGTTTATGTTTTATACATGTAATTTAGTTGTGGTGATAATTTATTTATAAACTTCAAACAGTTTGAGACTTGCATTAATTTGTTAACTATTTTAGTAAGCTCACTTGAAATCTACAAATTCACTTTCTGGCAGAACATTGTAGTAACATGCATCATATCACCAACTTAGAACATTTTAGTTAAAGAAATGAACTAATGTTTTATGTATTTTAAAAATTTTCAAATTTGGTAAAATTACTAATGCAAGCTGAAATTGTTGTTCAATGTTTTCTTTTCATTCTTCAGCCAGTTAGTCAGAGAGTGCCAGACATGTTTACCATTCCAACTCTGCCAGATATCCCTCCGTCAATGCCTATATACCCTCACTACATGCCCTTCTTCCCACGACATGTTCAGGCAAGACTAGAGGTTTGTAGGCTTTGTTTTTTTATGAAGCAGAAATATTGTTAAAAATATTCTTTTCAGCTGTTTTTTTTACACCTATTTGTGCCACATGAATTGAGTTCATCTTCCAGTATGGTTTTTATCTTATTACCGATAGAATAAAAAACTTTATTTATTAAATTTTTATCCAGAGTGTAAACTTGTAACTTTAATAACTGTTACTCATTTACAAAACTAGAAGTTACTGATTTATTGTGACACAGTGTGTTAGAGGTTGATCAGTTGCAAAGCGAATTAAATTCATGCTCATAATAGAACTTCTAATGGGCATATTTATATTTGAATGTTTTAGATATGTTTCACTATTTCAAAATTATTCAAGTCAAATGCTGCAGAAATTTCACAAAAAAAATAGCAAGAAAGATTTATACATTTCTTTTTTTTTTAGGTGAGGCACCTTGACACTGACTATAGCATCTAATTATTAATAGTAGAGCAAAATGGGAAGGATCAGATTATTGATTCTAACTGTAAATCGTAAAAAAAAACAGCATTATAATAAAGCAATTTATTTAAATAACATTATTCTCATAATTTGTTGTGTTAACTCTTACAATACGTTTTATGCTGGATAGGTGAATAAGAATTATGAAAATGTTTGTGTGGAAGTGTAGAGTTATAATTTACCCACATCAGTTGAATATGCACATTCTTATTAACCTGTGCATTCTTGTAAGTATATGAAGAAATCATATAAATATCAAGCTAATAAATACCCACAAGTGTTGTTTCAGGTGTATTATATTCTTTCACTTGCGTTTAAACTAAACAGTTAGGTCTTTAACAGACAGCAACACCATTCAGGATGTTAGTGTCTTTAATAGCCTGTAACACCATTTAATTCAGGACATTAGTGCCTTTAACACCATTTAATTCAGGATGTTTGTGTCCTTAATAGACTGCAACACCATTTAATTCCAAGTGTTAGTGTTTTTAATAGACAGTAACACCATTTAATTCAGGACGTTAGTGTCTTTAATAGACTAACACCATTTAATTTAGGGCGTTAGTGTCTTTAATAGACAGTAACACCAATTAATTCAGGACGTTAGTGTCTTTAATAGACAGTAACACCATTTAATTCAGGACGTTAGTGTCCTTAATAGACTGCAACACCATTTAATTCCAAGTGTTAGTGTTTTTAATAGACAGTAACACCATTTAATTCAGGACATTAGTGTCTTTAATAGACTGTAACACCATTTAATTCAGGACGTTAGTGTCTTTAATAGACAGTAACACCATTTAATTCAGGATGTTAGTGTCTTAATAGCCTGCAACACCAATTAATTCAGGATGTTAGTGTCTTTAATAGCCTGTAACACCATTTAATTTAGGATGTTAGTGTCTTTAATAGCCTGTAACACCATTTAATTCAGGACATTAGTGTCATTAATAGCCTGTAACACCATTTAATTCAGGACATTAGTGTCTTTAATAGCCTATAACACCATTTAATTCAGGATGTTAGTGTCATTAATAGCCTGTAGGATGTTAGTGTCTTTAATAGCCTGTAACACCATTTAATTCAGGATGTTAGTGTCTTTAATGGCCTGGAACAGCATTTATTCAGGATGTTTCTTTAATAGACATTTAACTGAAGGCCACAGATTTATTACAGGAAAAAATGTCAAACTATTACAGTTCTCTTAATAAACTAATTACCATGAAGGTTTAAAGTTTTTTTTTTTAGATCACCTACTGGTGCAAAATGATATCAATATATATGAAACTGACAAAATGTTGATTTATTACAGGATTATATGAGAATTGTTGAACAGCGTAGAATGGCAGTAAATAGAGGAGCTACTCAAGCAACCATTGAACAGAATACTTTTCCACATAAATATAAAAAGGTGAGATTAGAGATTAAAATTAAAAGTTTTCAGAAACACCTGTAGTGTAAACTGTGAAGTATGTGATGGTTGGTTAATAATTAACCAGCTAATTATATTGATGTATCAGAACTCTCTAAAAAATGAATTTAAAATCTCTTTGTTGTTTTTACTTCAACACCTATTAATTAAAATTTCTAAAAAGTGGCTGTTTGGTTATTAAACCATGTAAATAGTACTATTCTATATTTGCAAACACAATTTAAACAAAAACGAATTAGGCTTAACATACAGAAGCTTAAAAACTGAGTGTGTTTTCTATTTTTAAGCTTTAGTGATTAACTTGCTTTATTTGAGGAGAGTTTGTTATACATAGCTGATACTTTTGTATGGAAGTACACTATGCTAATATAATAGTAAATTGACAAATGTTTTATAAGCATAATGAAGAAAAAAAATTTCATTATGCTAATAAAATTATTTGTCAGTTTACTATTAACCCATTAACTGCGGATGACGGATATTTCCGTCATTGACGTTCTATGGCTCAGCTGCGAATGACGGAAATATCCGTCAGTCGCACACATATATAACTATAACTCTATGCGAATGATGGAAATATCCGTCAGTCGCACACATATATAACTATAACTCTATGCGAATGCCGAAAATTACCGTTTTATTGTGATTGATGGCAACTCAGTTTTATCTGTGAATCAGAAATTGGCAACTGAGCTGCTCCTGCCACAGTTAATGGGTTAATATATGGCTGATGAAAACAAATGCTTTATCAAAGTTTTTCCTTTTTTTTATTATTATTATTTTCTATTTTATATATAAACATTAACTGATGTTTACTGGTCCGAAAACAACTTGTAAGGCTAAAGTTGAGCAGAACCCATATAGCCGATTATGTAGCTTTGTGCTTAACAACAACAAACATAATATTAATACTTAAATTCCTTGGATAATTGGAATAATCAAAAATATTAGTAACAGAAACTGATTATTTTCGTGTCAGTCGATTCAGTTATAACTTAAATGATACTGGGTTCGAATTGAGGTGCTGCCAAACACATTTTGCACTTTTAGCTGTTGATGGGTTATAACAGTGACAGTCACTCCTGCTATTTGTTAGAAGTAGCATCTTCAGACACTGAGTGCTGCCAACTTACTATCTTCCTTCTCGTCATCAATTTAAATTTAGAGATAACTATTGAGCCAAATAATTCACCAGAAAAGCTGTTTGAAGTAGCAAATAGAAAGTTGTGATAACTTTCTGGTACAGTTTTATCACTTACTAATCAGGTTTTCCACAGTTAAAAAACATAATTCAGAACACTGAAATGTGCTTAAACTTTGTACTAATAGATCAACATTTAGAGTTGCTGTATAGTTGTATTCCCTATTACAACCAGAAGGACAAGTAACTAGCACAATTTGCTAGGTATGTCAGAAGAGAGCTTTAAACAGCATAACATTTTTTTATGTATTTACATAGGTAGAAGCAATTAAAAATTAACAGTTGTCATATTTAAAACTGGTTACAAAGTTATTACTCTGATTGCCCCTCATATTTCTGTTACGTAAAACCATTTTGTGTTCTCATGTTCGTTTCAGCAGTCAGAAGATTAAGAAAGAATAACTTAGGTGTTAATTTTTTTAGTTATAGGATATAGAGCTGAATAATAAAAACATAGATTTATTAAATTCAAGAATTTTACTGATACAGAAAAACTATAAAAAACACAAGAGTAATGTTGTTTATTCATTTTCTAGCATGAGATAATCTGTGAAGTTACATTTTTTACTGAAACTACTTGAAAGTTGTCTATTAGTGTATTTCATAGTAACTACTATACCATTTTTTTTATAAAATGTAGCTACAGAGAAGTGAAGGAGAAGATAATATTGAAAAATGTACCATTTGCTTGAGTGAATTTGAAAATAACGAAGATGTCAGGTAAAATATACATTTCGTTTTTTAGCAAACTAAAATGTAGAGAACTAATTTGAATAGGAAAATCAGTTTCTTAAAGAATAATTCCCAGTGTACAGCATCTGCTTATGTTGAATCTTCCTATTATGACATAGTAACTCACACTTGCTTTTATTGGATACAATATTAACAAAGTTGTATATAATAAAATGTGTCTATATGCATATATTTATATATATTGTTTTTTTCTCAAGTAACTAAGACAGAAAACAAATATTTCACATAAAAGACAGACAAGTAAAATTATGGTACAAACTATAATATGAGCAGGGTAAAATGTACCTTAGTAAGAGATGCAACTTCTATCACAACCCTCTTACATGAATTGAAATTTGAACTATAAAAATTAGGAGCAGGTTGTGAATTGAAGCTTTTAATGTTCTATATCTAAAAACTACTATTTTCCATCCACAATCCAAGACCAGGAAAGGTTGTTGCTTCTAACACTAGATGAAAACAGGATCAGAGCAAGAGCTGGAGTGAGAGAGAATCATGAAGATACAACACTTTGTGTTAGACAAAGGTTGTAGTTAGTATCCCACAATCCTTTAGGTTTCCTTTATAAACAATTATTTCAAATAAGCATATTCAAGGAAAGAATCTCCCAACTTATACTAACTTGCACAAATATCTGCATCACCCCTTGAGATGGCTTTACTCACTCTGAGAGTAGGCACAAACAAAGGGGCAAGCAGGTACAAGCTCTCGTGGTATAGCCATTATAGTATATAACCTCTAAGTAAGAGGATTAGTGTATTTTTACAAACTTCATACATCTGGTTTACTGTGAAGATATTAATGACATGCAGAACACTTGCATGAAAATTTAGTAAAACAATCCAAATATACCTAAATTAAGGTATATTATACACTAATTATGAAAGATTTAGGATATTAATATCATCATTTGAAGATGCTGTTGTTACACACATTTTTCTTCAACAAACCTTTTCATGAAAAAAAACATACTTGTGCAAATTTCCAAAAGCTTAAAATGATGTATTATGACAGGGAAACAAAACATTTAATCTTTACCTTTAAAAATATTTACATTACATTAGAAGAGTTATGGGTTTTATATAAACCATATAAAAGAAAAAAACTACATGAACACGTTTTAAATTTTTTTCTTCATTTTGTGCATGATCCTCACCAGAATCATCTAACTGACATAGACCTTACACCATATGAAGTTCACATATGTTCTGCCTCCTCCTGTGGTTTTGTATCTTGTTATCTACAATTTCCCATAACCTTGAAATGTTTAGATTTAGATTTTACTGCCATCTTCTCAAAGAGAGTGTAATTACATTTGCTCATGTGCAACTGCTTGCTTCAAATGCTAAAATTAATAATATAGTAACCTAGATGTATGAACAGCTCCTTTTTAAATTCATGAAATTCTTTCATTACAGACGTCTCCCTTGTATGCACCTCTTCCATATAGTGTGTGTTGACCAATGGTTAACCACCAACAAACGTTGTCCAATCTGTCGAGTGGATATTGAAGAACATCTAAAGGAATTTTCGTACACTTAATTTTCTTCCTAGCCATATAGCAGAGAAGAGAGTGCATTTAGTCACATTTTAATACCATGCACAAATTATTGCTCGTTTCTTTTACCTTTCTTCTTTCAAGGCTGTTCAGAATATTTTAAAAGCCATCATGAATTATCCATTGATTCTTCAATTTGGCTTAACAAGCAGGATTATTAAATGATATTCCAGATAAAAAATCTACACTAATATTAAGTTTTAACACTTCAATCATGTATTAGAATACTTTTCTTAAACTGTATATAATGATAAGTTATAAATCACTCATTAGCCTGAACAATTTTTATTTAGTTTTCATTGTGTTGTCACATTTGTGTCAAAAACGTTATGCACCTACAATGTCTTAATTTTGGTAATAATTTTTTGTAGTGAAATAGGCATAACCTAGATTCTAAATTGGTTATTACAGTGAACAAATCTAGTAATATCTTATTGAAATACAAGTTAATTTTTTTTTAAATGTGGTTTTGTATTTAGAGAATTCATGTGAAAGCTGTTAATTCCATGAAATGGTGTTCATGATCTATTTTGTGCACAGTTGTGGTATAGCTAAAACACTGTCGTGCCTCTGTTGAATTATCATAATTATTACAGATTGTGTGTTATTGTTCCATAAAAATGAGTAGTGGACTAACAGAAACCAGTATATTTTAACAACCAACTTGTGAGAAAGACTTTGGTTTTACTGTTCTTTTTTGTACCATCTGAGATTTATTTCAGTTTGATTCTTCCTGATTATATATCAAACAGATGAGTATTCAGTGCATGAAATTTGAATGTTTTTGTTTTTAATTGTGTAAATATGAAACATGCTAAAATAGGTTATATTAATGAAGATTAAAATTAAGTGGAAAAAGGTATTTATCAGTCACATGATATCGACATTATTATCATTGGTTTTGCGAGTATACTTTTAAAAACCATATGAACCAAAGCACTGATTCTGATAGTTAAACCTTTATACATATGTGTGTGTGTGTATTATTATGATTATTTTGTAAATAATTTGTTTTTACAATTCCCTTCCAAGGGGAGAAGAGCTTTTTGTTAATTTTCAGGAAATTATTTTTAAATTTATGCAAAGGATTATTAGTTTCTCAAATCTGTTTAGCCTTTTAGTAATGAATACATTCCTATCAGAGCAAGCTACCTTCTTCAATTAAGAATCAACCTGGTAGTGTGTATAGTTGATAAAATCAAATCATGAATGTACAATTTAACAAGAACAGATAAATAATTAGAAGAAAAAAGTGATTTAAAATTGTTTTGTTATCTTGCTCAGTCTTTCTTATCGCAAGCACTTTACAAATTAAATTTTCTGTATCTTCAGATTAAATTGATATGTTACTCAGAATTTTTTTTTACCAAATACATTAATGTCTAATAAGGGTTTTTGGGCACGTATACTGGTAATATTTCAGTAACAAAATAAGGTAAAATGGAATCACGATTATGATGATTGAAGTGTATTTGGTGTAATTAAATGCTGTTTTAATAACATGTATTGATTTTTACAATTACTGATTATTTTTATAAAATTCTGTCACAAAGGTGTTTTTTATAAAAATCATGAATTTCAACTAATATGTTTTCGTTTAATTATTCAGTAAAGTTATAATGAGAGCATTTTCTGTATACGGCACAGGTAAATAACTTGAGAGGACTATTAATTAGATAAAAGTAAAGGAGGTCTTGATTTTGAAGAGGATTTAAGGACAAAATAATTGAAGAATATGATCTATGTGAGGGATTCTCATAATACGTCACTATCTATCTTGTCCCACTGATATAAAAAAAACTATTAAGATGTGTCACTTTTCTTTTTTAACAGTCATCTACTGTAAGACATTATTCTTAGCTGCTGTTGTGAACTGTAATTTTGAAGTACTCTCCTAACTTTTTTAAAACAACCCATATTTCTCATGTACCAACTTTGAATACAAAACTTGTGTCAAAAAAGTTGTTTCACCGATACCAGATCCATAATAAGTTATGATGTAAGCTGTTGTGTGTTTTGATTGTGTAGCTCTTATATTCTGAAGTAATCATTCTGACTTGTTCAAACTTTTCTGTGTTAACTGAGAGTATAAATTGTGTACAATCAACAGTGTAAGTACATTGTTACTGACAGCTATGTAAAAGAATGTGAGCATTAAAAAAGCAGGTAAACAGAATTACAAATTAGTATACGAGTTGTAAATGTTGTTTTTTCTCTCATGACAGCATTTAATCCACATTGTAGGTATCTGTGATTGAAAATGGTACACACAAGAAAATGATGACCTTGTAATTTTTTTAGCATTTATTATTTGTATTAATTCTAATTTCTGTACTGTGTTTGTACCTTGTTTGGCTTGGCTGTTTGAAGTATCTAATGCCAGAATGAATTACAGAGGGTCTGAATTGTACATGTGTATGTAAAAAGCTCAAGCACTGGTAGTTTTGTATAGAAGTATTTGCATTTTTTGTGTGTGTGAATTTGAATTAGGTTCCCATTGTGGGCATACTAATTAAAAAAAAAAAAGGCTTTCTATAAAAGTGCCAATTATGTTCTGAAATATTAATATAAACTACTTTTTGTTTTTAGTCTGTACAGAAGTTTTTTAATCTATTTTGATTCATGGCTGCCTATTCTTCAATTAATGCGGGTTTGGAGTGTTTGATGATTGTCACACCTCATTTATTATATATTTGGTTTCTTGAGTTCTTGGCTTTTAAATAAAGTCGTCTTACTTTCAGGATTTGAAGTCAGTCTGAAGTGTTTTAGCCTAAAAGTGTGGTTCATAAAAATACAGTAATTATATAATGTGTTACTTGTATAAGGTATTGGGTAGAGCATAGAAAACAGGTAACTGGTTAAACAGCAGCAAAAAATGCTGAAATATAAAATGTATTATCAATTTCTTTAAGAAATCTTTCTTAAGTTGCATTTTAGTAATTACCATATCGAGCTGATTATAAGGCAATGCTTTTGTTAATAATTCGGCTGTAAAATTTATAGTTGCCTTATAATCGGGTCATGCCTCTTCTAGATAGCATCCATCTATGCATGCTTGTCAGATGTTTGCTCTAGGTCATCGCTCTTCCTACTAATCCACCTGCAGGCTGTTCAGTTATAGTATCGATTCTGCAGACCTAAGAAAGGACATCATGATGCTCAATTTTTTTCTTTCTCGTGGTTTGTGAAAATGGGGGTCGCTTTATATATTCGAGGTCTCCATATGATCGGGCCAATACTGTAACTAACACCAAAATCCACATATTTTGGTAGCTCCTTGTTTGCTTCAAAGCTAAACAGAAGCTATATGCACTAGCCATCCCTAATTTTGAACTAATGGTTAAAGCCTTGCCATGTCTTTACAAGGCACATAACATTGGTGCTTCCGAACTCCAGTGTCAATGGGACAGGGGATGAGAATGATGACCCTTTCTTCTTGGATGGGATGTCAGTCCATATACAGATTAACCCCCATCATACAGCTTGGTAGAATGGAACATGTGGAGTAAAGTGTCTTGCTCGAGGACACGACAGCATTACGCAAGCCAGCCTCAAACTCGCAACCATGTGACTACAGGTTCAAAGTGCAAAGCCACTGAGCCATGCTTTCCCACAAGTGGAATTTGACTGTCATTCTTGTAACAACTTGTCCACATTGAATGAAAGAAAAGAACTGACCATTAGAAATGGTAATACAACAGCCATTATAGGTAATGTGGGGAAGGCATAAACTAATGGTATTAGAAATCTTTGCACAACTGAATTTAATGGGGTTTACAGTGAAATAAAGACATAAGATATTCTAAAAATCAAGTGTATTGTTATTTCAAATTTCTCTAACATATGTATTCAATGACAAATTAATTAGCAATAATAAAATTTCTGACATATATGTGTAAGAAACCCAGTTATCCTAGTCATGTGCTTTTTGTTTGATATCTCCTCGTTCAGAGAAAGGGATTTTTATATTTTAAAATGGTCAAACATATATGGAATTTCTATATTGAGAGCACATCCTGCAATCTATATACATTCCAGACAAAACACAAAAGTTAGTACCAGTCTGTGTTCTTAAGTTCGTGTGATATGAATTCACATTTATTAGCATATACGATATAATGTAGGGTTTAGGAGCTGCAAACACGAACCTTCTATCATGACAACATTGATTAATACACTTATATTCCGACTATTACATTTTGTAAAATCTGCATGTGTTTTTATAACATTTAAGAGTTTATGAGGTGTATTTTTCTAATGTGTTTAGGCAGTTTCCGAAAAAACTGTTTTCTGTATGTAGGATGATATATTACACCAGCTAAATTTAGATTTTTCATAGAGATAACTTTTTGAAAAAAAAAAAGTCATAACTAACAAAAATAACAAAAAGTAAAAACCTTTGAATTTTAAATTTTGTAATAACATAAACTAGAATGCATATAATGAAAACAACTATAAACAGTAATCACGGTAATTTATGCCAGATACACTACATTTGTAATCAATTATTGAGTTATGCTTAATATTAAGTCATGTTTGCAGTAGTAAAATTTAAGTATTACTCAATCTGTGTTGTGAATAGTGTTTCACAGTAACATTTTCTTACTATAAACATATTTAAAAACTTTCAATTCAAATCACACGTGCAACACAAATGAAAAAAGAAAGTTTAGGTTTATTCCTAACTCCAATGAATACATAACATAGATAGATGTCAAAGCACAAGACTTGCCTTACATTTGTCTAGTCATGCAAACACTCAATGCAACATGAAAACATTGGGATGATGATGTTAAAACATTTCTTTAGGTAAATTATTGACAGCACATGTGTAGAATAGACATTACTGTTTCTTCCTACTTTCTATGTATTTATCGAAAATAATATATGATATGTTTATAAAATTAAAACTGTCAGAATTCTAACTTGGAGTCCTACATGTATAAACCAAAAAAGTAATTGATTTAACTCGTAAGTCAAGAGAAACTCAAACTTCCGGGGTGTATTCTTGTGTATAAAAAAGGATTTTCTTACCAAGCAGTCTCACTATGAGATGACACTATAAAATTAAGTAATGATGTGACGAGTGTCAGTTCACAATCTTCACGTATCTTCTGACTTGAATTTATTTTCTTCCTGTAAGGAAAGCACAAGTAAATTCTGTCTATTCATAAAAAATCTAGTTTAAAAATATATAAATATTATTGTAACATTGTTTTTCTCAAAACTTTAATAAGAAAAGTTGAACATTAAATACTACAATGACATTATAATCTTGATGAAAGAATTTCTTACCATTTTTACACACACTAAAGAAATGTTATACTTGGTGGTTGAAATAATTGTTGTTCATGAAAAGGAATGCCGAGAATATGATTTTATTCTCGACAATTATAAGGAGATAAACATGAAAAGGTGTTATTTCAACAATAAACTGGCTTTTCATAAGCAATACATATGAATAATATGATACCACAAACAAGAATTTCAATTAAATGTCATCCTCTGCCACCTAAAACATTCTATAGTCTGGGATGAGCTCTGGTATCAAGAAGACCTCCATCTGTTGTGACACACAACAAACGGGATATACGCACGCTTCCTACTTGGAACCCACATTGGGCCAGTAAAGAAATTAAATTATCATCAATCTTGCTGCAATATTATATCACACACAAACTACAGTTAAATGTCATGTTCTTCCAGCTAATGTGATCTACATCCTAAAACCAGTTTTCAGTTACCGTTATAGGTTAAAAAAATACTGTTTAGTTATGTCAAGGCTTCGGGATTTTGTCTCCTCTAAAATTGTAAAAAAATATAAATCATTCATATTTAACTTCCAATGAAAAGTCCTGTTTCTTAACTTTTTTTGAATGTTTCCAAAACATACCTTCTCACTTGCAGAAGAGATCTCAGAAATATTCTTATAAGATTGGTGATCCAAACATTCACTACTTTTTGATGAATCTAATGAATGAGTTTCTGCATCTAAACTTGTAGCTGTGTTTTCTGAAAATTTATCATTATCTCCAGCTGAGATACATGACCTGGCAGGATCTGAATCACTGGCATGATCAGCAGGAGATTTTGATCCATTGGTAGAACCATTCACTATCCAGTGAGAAAGATAAGGGTTGACTTTACATTATAGATAGAAACACCATTACTGAGAAAATAATTATTTGAAGAAAGCTAAAACACTGTTATTTTATAATTGCACACGAAACCTTTATTTTCTCTTAACATAAATTAATATTGTTACATGTCTGGAAAATGATAAAGTTAAAAAAAATATATTTTTCTAGCCATGATCTAACAGGCACCCATTAGTGTTAAGTCCACATATAAATAACTCATTATTAATAAGAAGCTTGTAGATATTTCAGTATAGCTATACTCACAGACTGTGACATAATGTTATCATCTTAATGTGATATCGATAAGTGATCAGCAGTGAGGGTGAGATAGAATTTAATGACATACACAAATGTTTAAAGTTTACAAATTAATTTGGATATTTTTAAAATTTTACTATTGAAAACAAAAATAAACTTTTCTGATACATAAAATGACAGGAAAGAGCAAATTCAGTAACAGTCAATTTTATGAATGACAAACACAATGTATTTAGATTTGCCTAAGCCTGGTAACATTAAGACCAGTGAAATACATCTTTTTCAGTAGAGGTGTATTTAATTTGGTTGGACAGATTGAGTAATTGCCCCCTAAAAATGAAAAATATTAGCAACTGTAATCATTACATGTAAAAGTAGATATCCCATACCAGTGACAGCTTTATTTCCATCATTTGTACACTCCATCACAGAGGTTGCTTGAGGTGTTTTAACATCTGTTTCAAAAACCTGTAGTTCAATAACACCACAGATATTAAACAGGATACAAACATATTAAAATACCTTATGATCCAAAACAAAAGCTAATTAAAAACAAGTAGCTTGCAATATTTATGATAAATATATAAATAAAACCTTTCTCAGGGTATACGGTAATCTTCTTGGTCAATGCCCTAGATAGAAGCTCATGAACTCAAAAGTTATGATATTTTTAGAAACTAGGTTTAAAAATAAATATAAATATTAGCTATCATTTCTGAATGGTATTTTGGGACATATTAAATCTTAAAATAATTATAATCAAAATATAAACATCAGAGATAAACCAAAAACTTGTGCACTCGAGAATGATCGCACTAGTGGTCAAAATGTCATAACTATTTTAAAAATAGTCTTCCTTACTGTAAAAAGCTATAACTTGTAATAAAATAATATAAATTTTAGATGGTTGGCACTTTTTCTCATGTTATGTAACTATACTAATTCCCATTTTATATGGTCCCACAATATGTCACAAAAAGGAAAAGACTGAGTAGTGTCATTTTCAAGACTAATAAGAGGATAATTACTTTATTAACAGTTTCTGCACAATGTTGAGTGGGCAACAGTCTTGTGTTGTTTTATTTGTTTCTTAACAATGCTTCACAACCATGTGTTTGGATGAAAACACAAGGCAAATGAATTTGAGATTATCAGAAGTATAGGCAGGGTCACAAGCAGACTTGAATATTAAAGCTTCTGCTCCAACAACAGCCACTTGTAACAGCTGGGAATGGTAATCATACAAAATATTATATGTTAAAAGTAAATGGAAACTGAGAAAAGTTGTACCTGCAGGAACTTGACAAGAACACTTTTATTTGGTTTGTGAAAAATTTTTGACATGTCAAATTATCAGACACAGCTGTATCATAAAATGAGCAAGTACAAAATGCAAAGAGGTAAATTTTAAATCTAGCACATATTTAACTCCTTAAACGCGAGCGGACACTGCCAGTGTCTGGCCAAAAATTCCAATTTACCCACTGGACAGTGACCAATAACATTTATGTCTCTTTGGCTGAAAACTAATCCAAACCATGTTATTTTTTGAACAGACCAGAAAGTTTACAAGGTATTGTGATAATTATTAGGACATCATGAAAGTTACAGGTTTAAAAGAGTTAATCTGGTAACAATACAAACCTAGCTTCCAGGCTAAAAACAGAACCAAAGGTGGAATTAGTGAAGAAAAGTTGAGTGTAATGGTAAAGCATGGTAATATTAGCATTATTTTTAAACTACATTTAGATGCTAAATTATCTAAAAAAATGGTTCAAAAATTTTATTGACTAAGACACGAAATGCTTTGTGATTAACAAACAGGTAATGAAGCCCAATTTTTAGCATTATAATTCTTTAATCATTCTGCTGTAATCCTTAAAAATATTTTTCTTATGATAGGTCTTTAGTAGAGGCATCTACAAGGAAAAAACATCAGCCTTTTACATATTTCAGAGAAAAACTGTTATTATGTGTGTATTTGGGGAGAAAGCATTTTTGTCTCATTGAATGCCCCTTTAAATCAAGTAAGTTTTATTCTATATAGTTTGTTTGTTTCAGAATTTTCATGCAAAGCTCAACTCTTGGTCTATTACTTTTCTAACCAAATAATGCAATTTGACTGTCAATCTTATAATACATCTGCAGCCCCATAGTTTGGAGTCCATTTCTACAGCAACAGGCCATAAATCACTAACCCTCAGAATCACAGTCCAAGCACACTAGCCACTAGGCCACATTCAGACCTATTCTATATGGATAATGGCCATAAATGTTCTAAATATCTAACACTGAGATAGTAATCATTTCATTTTTTTTTTTTGCACACACTGTTAAATAAAAAGAAGATGATATGTGTTTTCTTATAAGAAATCATCTTACTTGTTTCTTCTTTACTCTGTCAATGTTTACACCTTACTTGTTTCCTCATTACTCTAACAATGTTTACATCTTACTAATTTTTATTTACTCTGTCAATGTTTACATCTTACTTGTTTCTTCTTCACTCTGTCAATGTTTACATCTTACTCGTTTCCTCATTACTCTAACAATGTTTACATCTTACTAATTTTTATTTACTCTGTCAATGTTTACATCTTACTTGTTTCCTCGTCACTCTGTCAATGTTTACATCTTACTCGTTTCCTCATTACTCTAACAATGTTTACATCTTACTAATATTTTCTTTACTCTGTCAATGTTTTACATCTTACTTGTTTCTTCTTTACTCTGTCAATGTTTACATCTTACTCGTTTCCTCATTACTCTAACAATGTTTACATCTTACTAATTTTTTCTTTACTCTGTCAATGTTTACATCTTACTTGTTTCTTCTTTACTCTGTCAATGTTTACATCTTACTTGTTTCCTCGTTACTCTAACAATGTTTACATCTTACTAATTTTTATTTACTCTGTCAATGTTTACATCTTACTTGTTTCTTCTTTACTTGGTCAATGTTTGCATCTTACTTGTTAAGTTTCCAATTGTATGTCTACATTATATACCATATAATATAGTGTAGAATTTAAAAGATAGGTAACATAAGTGATAAAAAACATATAAATACAGACTTAATAAACTTGTAATAGTAAAAAGCTTGGTGTAAGTTTCACACGTGAATTTACAGATAATGTCATTGTAAAAGACTGTTTACTGCTATCCTATATTACAGCTGGTAATAGCACTCAGGTTTAACCTTCATGTAGCAGTGTATGTCCTTAAAATAAGACATTATCAATTTATTATAGGTAACAAAACCCATATCCTAATCACCTAATTGAACTTTAAATAGGTTTGGAAGTTGACTAAATAACATTTTGTTGAAAAGCATACATTTATTTATTGTAATAGAAAATATCAGGCTATCCAGTTCTTCATGTAAGATTTCAGGGAGATAAGAAACATACTTATAGTAGTTATTGCATTTCCATATTCCATTTATCTTTCAAGATTTTCTTTATAAGAATCCAAAACATTTTATGATGATCTTACACTTACTGTTCCAAAAGCCTCTCCTTCGGGGACAAGAAGCTGGTTCTTAAGCTTCTGATAGAGGTACTCAGCTTTCTGTCTTATGATGTCACTCTTCTTAAACTTGCGACACTAAAGTGTTAGAAATAGTTTTCCACTCTTTGAAATCATCAAGACTTTAAACAACTCTTAACAAATAAAATTTAGTTCATCAGGGAATGACAGTAACTGTTTACTTAAAATGCAAGTAGTAATGAAATCTGAAAGTTATAGTAACAAATCAACTACAGCAATATCAGAAAGGGCTCAAAAGGTTTAACCCATTAACTGTGGATGACGGATATTTCTGTCATTGAAGTTCTATGGCTCAGCTGCGAATGACGGAAATATCCGTCAGTCGCACATATATAACTATAACTCTATGCGAATGACAAAAATTACCGTTTTATTGTGATTGATGGCAACTCAGTCTTATCTGTGAGTCAGAAAATGGCAACTGAGCTTCTCTTGCTGCAGTTAATGGGTTAATACCTTACAAAGGATGGTATAAGTTTATCATTACAAGCAAAAAAAAACAGATAAACAGTTAGTATTACCATTGTACAAATAGAATAAACTTTAATATGACTGTTCTATACTGCAGATGATTAAAACAAGTCACAAGATTCATTGTGATATGATCAAAGTATCTCACCATTCCCTTTTATACTAGGAGTCAATTGACTCTCAATGTGTTAAATAAAGCCGTCAATAACACTGTTTTAACCTACCTAATTCCACAATTTATTTAGGGGCAAGCAAAGCTAGTCTGTCCAGAGAGAGAGAAAGTAAGAATATACTTCTCTTACAATACAGAAGTGTTTTTTTTACTTCTGGCAACATAGAAAATTCAGTGAAGAATCTGATCAGGTTTATTTTATTCGTTAATTGTAAAAATTAAAAATGAAACTCATATAAGGCTAGTAAAGAGAGATTTCATGTGATGTAACATCACATAACTTATTTACAGATTACCATAAAGCATCATGCACCATAATAAATGATATATTGTAAATGACTGATACAAATGGTGTTTTGACCCAGGCCTTTTGTGTTGCTACTCAATTTTCTTAGCTTTGATACTGAGTGATAGTCCTTGGCAGTAGTGGCATGTAACACACAGGATCTACAGTTGAGATGTTATTATCTTATTTTTATTGAAAAACCATATAGAGACAGTAAAGAACCATTTCTTAAAAATTACTATCAATGTTACTGTGACGTAACATCACACAAACAACTAATGTATAGGTAATGCTTCAATGGCACAAGGTGTTATGTACTATAACAATTTAGATTTTTTTACTCCTATTACAGAATTAAGAGAAACTGGATGTCCCATCAGGAACAACATTATCATCCAGGTTGCATCCACTAAAATGTTTTGTGCACAAACAAGGAAAGGGACAGAAAGATGATTTTACTGTGTGAGAATTATATCAACAAAAAAAAGAATAGTACAACTTAAGTATCTCCAATGTACAAGTTTCAAATGTGATATGTGTTAACTTTTAAATACTATTCTTAGCATTCAGAGACATTCCCTTTTGGAATACCGTGTTAGACCATTTATGACTTGTCTTAAAAAAACAGGGGGAATCTTGTATAATAATTATGCTGTTAAAAATAAAAAAGACACTAAGATACTACAGGCATGGGTAGTACAAATTTAGATCTACAAAAATCACACGAAATAAGAAATATGACCAATAAATAGAAAAAGCAACACAAAATTTACATGAATCAAGGTATCTTGCATAATCATGTTTACATTTCTGGAATATTGCAGGTAAAGCTGACTATTATATATATGTGTGTGAAAATACCTAAGTTCACAGTCTGAAAAGTAAAATGAAATATCTTTTACACAAAGCTCTCTACTTTTCTTGATAATTTAATGTTTAGGAGTAACAAGAAACTCGGTGAAACCTCACAATTCAAATAATTTTCAGAAACACATCATAATAGAATCACTGAACATAGAACACTGTACTTTAAGAGCAAACATTAGATGAAACAATAAAACAAGAATACTTACTTTTTTAATGGTGTGGATAATATCAGGCTCCCTACTAATTACAAACTGTGTTAAAGGAATGTTGTCCAGTTCATTCAAAGCTTTCATACAGCAATCAACATCCTGAAATATGTATGTATTTGAATCAAATGTTATGTAATATATTTAAGCAATTAAAGACAACAATATTTCATTTCTTAGGATTTTTAGAAAATTATACTAAATTTCATTGTGCATTGCAAGAATATTAATGAATTGGAAAAAAAAGGGCCAATGTCAACCAACCGAAGTTAAGAAAGTTTATATGCAGAACGTGCTATTCACACTTTTAAAAATAGTGTTTAAGATACGACACGAAAAATAGATTATATAACATAGTCTTACAGTTTTATCAGGGACAGTAATGATTTTGCCACCAACTCACTAGAGTACTCTCCGAGCTTCTGGTAATTATAGGCCTATTAGTTTTACATCAGTGATGATAAAAGTTTTTGAAAGTCTGATAAAAGCTGCCTTGCAAAGTCATTTAATAAAAATTTAAGATCTTATTGGATAGTCAACATGGTTTCACTAGAGGAAAATCTTGCCTTACTATTCTTTTGTGACTCTTTAAAGAGTCACTGCTTATTTAAATGAGAGTATGAGTGTGCATTTGGTGTATCTGGATTTTTAAAACACATTGGAAAAGGTGTCACATAATGGACTTGTTAAAATATTATCTCTGTAGGTGTGGGGAATAAGCCAGCTCATTCTAGAGAAACATGGATGGATAGAAGAAAGCAGGAAGTTGTCATAAATAGAGTTCAGTTAGACTGGATTAATGTCACAAGTGGAGTACCTCAGGGCTCAATGTTAGGATCTTTGCTCATTTTAATTTGCATCAATGACATAGACTTAGAAATCATTAATAAATTATTTCAAGTTGCTGATGATATTAAAGTCTTAGGGGTTGCTGGCTGTGAGGAGGATGTTGCCGCTTTATAAAAGGATTTGAATTATTTGGTGAGTTGAGCAAGTAAATGGTATATGGCTTTCAACCAGAACAAATGCAAGGTTAATGCATGTGGGATATCACAATTTGCATTATGAGTATACTTTTGATAGGAATAACCTTAACCATGCTTTGCAAAAAAAAAGAAGATCTTAGTGTTCTGGTTAATCAATATTTAAAGCAATCCAAGTGATGTGCTGTTGTCAATGATAGGTTAAACAGGATTTTATGTTGTATCTACAGAAATATTGAATACAAGTTGACAGAAGTTATAATGTCATTGTATAGTTCACATTTAGAGTACTCTGTTCAGTCTTGGGCTCCTTACCTTAAGAAGTACATTGAATTGTTGAAAAAGAGTTCAGAGGAGAGCTACTAGGATGATACCTGGAATGGAAAGGTTGTCATACAAGGACAGATTAAAATCTTTGAAATTGTCTTCTCTTGACAAAAGAAGAGTTGGGAGGGGATCTGATTGAGGTGTTTAAGATTGTTGTGTCATCTTTTTTCATACTTAATGGTGAGAAAGGTAGGACTACGTGACACAGATATAAATTATGGCAGGATAGAAGTCATCTTCAGTACAGATAGTTTTATTTTTTCAACAAGATGGTTAGCCTTTGGAATAGGTTGTCTTCAAATGTGGTGGATGCAGTACATTTTAGAGAGTTTAAGGGAAGGCTTGATAAATATTTAAATGATAATGGCTATCTTTCAGTTGTTTTTTTTTACATTTTTTTTTAGTGGATGGAATGGCCTGGATGGATCAATAGCTCCCTTATTGACCTTAAATTTTATGTCATGTTAATATGAACACAATAGAAACCGTAACTTTTTAAATGTAGCTAGGTTTACAATAAGGATAACATGTTTTAGTACAGCTGCTTTGGCAAGTATATACATTTCATTATTTAAGAGTTCTGTTTTTCAGGCTATGTTTTATTCCACATAGTAGCTTGATTTTCATTTATACCTAAAAAATCATATAGTATATAGCTTAGGCAAAGGATACTGATGCACATATATATTTGATTGCACTTTATCATCATCAGCAGAGTAGAAAAACACCAGAGATTAAAGTTGCTTATGTACATAATATTTTAAGCAAAAAAAACATTATTAGAACTAAAAAATTGTATCTCTATACTCTAACCTATTTACCACTTACTGACAATACAACAGTAGCAACACTTTACTTCTTAATAAAACGTTCGTAGAAAAATCAATGAGCATTTTTTTTTGAAAAGCATATAAAAGCACAATTTAGATATATATAAAAAATGTGACATTCATAAGATGCACCCCTATGATGATGAATAAATCAATTGATCATTCTTACAATAGCTACTCACTTCTTGGTCAATCAGCTGAACAATTTCCTTCTAAGAGCAAATGCAAGTTAGAAAATGTAATCTAGTTATAATTACATCTTATATATATAAAAAACCAAAACACAGCACAGCATGATCATCCATCCATCAATGAATAAATATAAAGATTATTCTTGTAGAATCTTTTTTTAGTTTTATGTTAGAACTAGAAATACTTAGAAATGACTGATACATGTATAAAATATGAAACTAAAAGTTGTTAATTTAGGCTTACCTTTAAAAAAAGGGAAATGTTTATAAGTTCATACTTATAGGAATTTAGGCTTATGTTTACAATGCAATGGATCATACTATGCTATTCTTAGGTATAACTGTTAATATTTTGTATATATTTATTACCCAATCCAGTGACTGATGCATTATGGATGGCTGCCAGAATAATTAATGCAATGTATATTTTTATTGAATGCATTTGTTATTTTACAACATCAAGCTTTCAACATCACAAATCTTAAGTGCCAGGCAGTCACATGCAGCATTAAATTAAAACAATTGAAATTGGCCATATATAAAAATATAAACTGGAATAAATAAACCACTAATGCAACATCTGTCCTTTTTTATCAAAGTTTCACTGTTTTTTTATACAGTGTAAAGTCAAACAAAGTTCATGAACCCACAAAGACTTTTAACTGGACCTATATACAGCTTGTTAACTTCCACGTAGTTTTACCACATATGCAATGGTCAACTTGGCTTGACTTTACCAAACGGACAGATACACTTCCTCCCCTCTTTGAGAGATAGCCAGCTTCTTGCAACATGTTTATCAAAGTTAAATTAGCTTCTTTTTGTTCTTTCCTCTTTAGCTTTAAGTTAACTTGACAACTTGATATTGAAGTTTTTCCTTAAGACTTGCTAGGCTATATCCATATACTATGGAAGTATATCTGTAACTTAGCAATACAGCTTCATGACTGGTTAAAACATTGAGCAAGTCTTTAATGGTTCTGAAAACTATTTCAGTCCTGCAGGATACACAATCTGGATTACTTGTGATATGCGGAAAGCCAAATTTTTGATAATACTGACTCAGTAATGGCATGTCTAGGTTTTTTGTTAGTGAAGGAGGCATAAGGGGGCAAAGAATTAATTTGTGGGAACAGAAAAAAAAATTAGCACTTTTATGTCAGTGACAGCCACAATGTAGATAATTTAAAAATCTTAAAAAACTATATCTCAGATGGTAGCTGCTGGGGGTAGAGCCCTCTAATGGTGAACTCCCCATTTGGAATTTAGTGCAAAGCTACACGAGAGCTATCTGCACTTGCTATCCCTAATTTAGCAGTGATAGACTAGAGGGAAGGCAGCTAGTCAACACCATCAACATCACTTACTGCTAATTCTTGGGCTACATTTGTACCAATGACTAGTGGGATTGACCATCACATTATAATGCTCTCCACAGCTGAAAGGGTGAGTGTGTTCGGTGTGACAGGAATTCGAATCCCTTGCAGATTGCGAGTCAAGTGCCCTAACCACCAGGCCATTGACCTTATGGAGTCCTGGGTAGTGTACAGCTCATGTCATGGCACATTGGCAGTGGAGCAGGACTAACCATCAGCTGCATGTGCAACCACTGAATGCTTGATAGCAGTAAGGCAGTTCTTTATATCTTAGCAGTGAGACAAGTGGTTTATGATACCCTTCAATGAGGTAATCTTGGAATTTCTCACAGCCTCACATATCTGCAAGCTCCTCCTTTTTAATATCAATATATTTACCCCCTAATAAATAAATTCCAGGTTCTACTTGAAAACGATTTTTTAAGAAACTATATGATGTTTCAGCTACTCAATTGAGCTTCATTAGGTATATAACAGCTGTATGCTCAGTAGCTGAAATATTTGTAAAATCCCCTGACAAAACTTGTTCTCTCAGGTACTGGCATTAGTATTTTCAACCTCAATGACCCCTAAATGGTCAAGTCAGAAACTTGTAATATCTAGTACAGTCATTCCTAATATTTAACCTTCTAACCAAATGGAAGGCAGTCGGCAAGCAGTACCAGACATCAAAATGTTTGTCCACCTCTTGAAACAAATACTGGGAATAACTGAAGATCATAAGAGTAACTTCCTCCTGGGAAGAAGCAGTGCAATTTTACCAACACCATTATCTTCTGTGCTATTTTTTCCTTAATTCACTGATAAATAACCCTGTGACATTCTTGCAGTGGGAAGTTAAAAAAATAACAACTTGACAGTTTTTCATGTTGAAAAACTTTCAACCTGTGACTTGATTCTTTACATTTAATCAACACACTAAATTAGAATTTACAACTTTTGCATACAAAACACTTTTTTATCCAGCATAAAGTGATTTTGATGTATTACAGAGATGAAAATAAAACTTACCATACTAGCAAAACTTAGGCTGTTTTTAATTGTTTCATCAAGTTCACATAGTTGAGATTCCAGGTGGGTGTCTGGAAGAAACAGTTATTCAGAAACGTTCATTTCATGATACTTTTCTTTAATCCGGGTGTCCCTTTATCTTTAAAATTACTTTTAATGTATCCTGATATTTTAAAGTTTCTTCAGCACTTTAGGCTTCACACTATTTTATCTACTAATCCATAAAACTGCTGTTTTAGAAACAACTGCATTGACAAACTGGTCGGACTTACAAAAAATTGGATACTTCACCTTAATCCTCATCACAAAGCCTCTTGCCACCAAAACATGGTTTAATTGTCATACATACTGACCGAAATATACAATAACTGTATAATTGTGGTATGCAGACAGACCATGCATTTCTAACTTCTTATCTTCATAAAGAAATTTTTCAAAATGTTTCAGTTATGCATGTATATATGCACTTTTTGCATAAAACATAGTCAAGTCATAACTGTTTTTGTTCTCTGTCATTCCTTTGACATACCCCCTGATCTGTCTGAGTTATAGTTATAAAGTCATATCTTGTGTATGAAAGTCTTCTAATAGCAAGTCAGGTGATGTCACAAGGATACAACTTCCCATATTTTCGACCTGTCATGTGAGTAGTGCTAGTCACTTTGGGTAAGTCCGACATTACCGATTCAACTAAGTAACTTGAGTTTGAGTCAGTATGGAAAGAATCTCAAGGGAGTTAACCTAATATAAATCTTGAAGGAATAATGCCAGTGTGATCAGTCGACTATTCTAGTAAAAGTGACTGTTATTTTGTGTTTCATTCTGTCTTGTACACTTGTGTTAAGTCTATGTATTTCTTTGTACAAACTCAGTTAGTCTTAGTGGAACTGAGAATTCCTTTGTAATGTATCTTGCTGAGCCTCCTGTTATATAGCAGACCTATTGTATTCAATCTTGGGATAAATCCTTTTTACCTGAAAATACCACATAATAACAAACTTTATGGTTGAACAAATTGTTATTTAGTCCAAAAGTAATGTCTGCTGTCAGGAAAATATTACATTCAATTCGAAGTTACAACCATTAATGATAACAGTTTATTTAATTGTAGAAATCATATAAAATACAGAATAACAAATATTTTACACAATATCAATTTAGGTCATTCTGAAGAGAAAATAACTTCTTGTCTCCTATCTCACCAAATTAAAAAATGTCAGATGAGAAAAAATATTCAGTTTATCAATGAAAAGATCATACAAAAAAAGATATGAATACATTTAAGATGTAACAATTTATATTTATTTAGAAACCTATACATAGTATTGATGAATACCTTGAGAATTTAACAATTTAATTAATACAATATGTATAGTTAAGTACAGTAAGAATGTACCAAATTATTTTTAACAATGCAACCTTCATACAGTATAGGTGAATACAGTGAAAATGTAACAGTTTATTAACAATGTAACCATGAAATAGTATAGATTAATACCTTGTTTAGTACATTTATTTTTAATTTCTATTTGAATTTTTTTAGTGTTCTCCTGTCTGTAAAAAGAGTTTCCATTCAACAAGAATCTAACCCAAAAAACAATTCAAAACACAGTTTTACTAATGAATTCTATTCCAACAGAGGTTGGAACTGTACTATTGCAAATTATTTTATTTAATACATTAATTATTCTTCAATTAGGTTAAATATTTCTAGTTCTTCCATTTAGTATTTCTTTTTGAGACTCGGACGTTATTTAAGATAGAGTAAGTTTGAGGCTAATACTACTTTTTTATTCTTATACCTACGAAACTTTAAGTGATTATTTCCAATGTTTGTACTTCACTTAAAAAGCCTTTAATTAAAATATAAATAGTAGTGAAAGAGTCAAAAGCAGACCAAACCTGAAAAATGCTAGTTTAAAACATACTGATTCTTGTCTTCAATGACATAAAATGTCTTAGAATAAAAAAGTAATAATTATTTTAAACAGTCAAATTTTAGTTATCCTAAGTAATAGGCTATTTATGCATGTATGTCACATGCTTTATATATATATTTTTATTGATGAAATTTGCAAAGATTTTGTTTGTTTGACAAAGCTACTTAGGCTATCTGCTGCTGCCCCTAATTTTGAGCTGCCACCTTAGGAAAGACAATGGCTGGCAGCACCCAGTACCAACTCATGGGCTACTTTTTAACCAACAAATAATGAGATTGAATATTACATTATAACATTTCCATAACTGGTTTGGTCTGATATTTCATTGGTGGTAGTGTGCAGGGTCACTGATGAAGAGTGGAATCCTCT